GAGTTAGATTTGTCTAACCTCAAACGCATGGCCTTTTCCTGACTCGGCTGCTTTGCAGTCAAACAAGCCCTCCTGCCTCATTGCCACCCCAGTCCTAGCCAGTTTGGCTCAGTGGATAGAGCGCCAGCCAGTGGACTTAATGGTTCTGGGTTTGATTCCCTTCAAGGGCACATGCCCAGGTTGTGGGCTCAATCCCCAGTAGGGGACATGCAGGAGGCAGCTGATCAATGATTCTCATCATTGATGTTTCAATCTTTCTCTTCCTCTCCCTTCCTCTCTGAAGTCAATAAAAATATATTAACAAACAAGCAGCTCCCCTCTCCACTGTCTGTCAAGTGAAAAGAGACCGCAGCCAGCGCTTGGAGTGTTCTTTCCCTATAAAGGGCCTGAAGACGTGGTGAAGGGCTCTTACCCAGTGTCCACCAGTCCTCTCTTCCCTCTATTCTGTCAATCAGATCAAATCCACCTGTTAGCTAACAGCCAGCTTTTCCTTCACACTTTTTCGTGGTAGTTGGACTTGAAACTTTCCAAGTTTCTCAGACACATATTCTTTTACCCCTTCCTTCCTGTTACACATTACTAGTCTCGTCTATTATTGTTAGTATATATTTTAAAACTTAAATCAACATTTTTTTTCCTCATTACAAAAACAGTACCTATTCAGTATAGAAGAAAACCTTAAATTACAAATAACACCCTCCCCACTCCCCTCCCCCCAAAAAACCCTTAAATTAATCAATGTTGCTGAGACCAGTTTGGCTCAATGGATAGAGCGTCAGCTTGGGGACTGAAGGGTCCCGGGTTCGATTCCGGTCAAGGGCATGTTACCTTGGTTGTGGGCATATCCCCAGTAGGGGGTGTGCAAGAGGCAGCTGATCGATGACTCTCCCGCATCGATGTTTCTAACTCTCTATCTCTCTCCCTTCCTCTCTGTACAAAATCAATTAAAAAAAATTAATCAATGTTAATTTTTGGTGTATATCCTTTAAGAACATTTTTAAAAATATATATTTTATTGATTTTTTAAAGAGAGGAAGAGAGAGGGATAGAGAGTTAGAAACGTCAACCAGCTGCCTCTTGCACGCCCCCTACTGGGGATGTGCCCGCAACCAACGTACATGCCCCTGACCGGAATCAAACCTGGGACCTTTCAGTCTGCAGACCGACACTCTACCACTGAGCCAAACTGGTTTCGGCTTTAAGAACATTTTTATTCATAAATGTGTGTGTATGTTTGCAGCATAGATTACAGTACTTTATAACTATTTTAACATATTTTTAATAAGTAACCTTTTATAAAATGCCCTTTATTTAGCCATATATTTTTTGTCTAGGGTGTTTATTGAATATTAATTGAAGAACAAATATCCAAAAAATGAAAGGACTTATAGAGTGAGATAGGGCATTCTCTCATTAAAGATGTTTAAATAGAAGATGAATAACAATTTACTAAATATGGTTTATATCAGAAGAAGGATGCAAATCTAGAGGATTCACTATGATCCCCATCATCTGGCTTTATATCTGGCATGTAGTAGATGCTCAATAAACATTTGTTACGTGAATGAATACATGACTTCTAAGTGCTCTTCCAAACTTGAGACTTCGTTATTTATAAATCCTCCCCTCACCATCCCAAAACTCCTGGTTTTCTCTCTTCTCTGGACTGTGGGAACAATTACATTATGAATCACTAGTTTAAGAGATCTTAATTATATACTGTATTATTTTCTTTTTAAAAAAAATATATTTTATTGCTTTTGTACAGAGAGGAAGGGAGAAAGATAGAGAGTTAGAAACATTGATGATAAGAGAGTCATCGATCAGCTGCCTCTTGCACACCCCCTACTGGGGATATGCCCTTGACTGGAATCAAACCCGGGACCTTTCAGTCCCCAAGCCGATGCTCTATCCATTGAGCCAAACCGGTTTCAGCTATATACTGTATTATTTTCTATTGTTCTCTAACAAGTTACAATTACCCTTAATATGATGTGATGAAATGGTACTTTACCTCTGTGATTCTCCTCCCCAAACCCAGCCTAATCAGGAGGAAAACAGGAGACAAATTCTAGCAGAGGAGCAGCCTATCATATACCTGACCAGTTCTCTTCAAGGGCCAAGGTCATCAAAAACAAGGAAGGTCTGAGAAACTGGATTTAAAGTGTGACTCGAGGTTCTTTTTTTTTTTTTAATAGATTTTAGTTTTTGAAACAATTTTAGTTACAGAAAAACTGAAAAGATAATACAGAAAGTTTCTCTATGCCTGAGACACAGTTTCTCGTATTATTAGCATCATCTATTAGTATGGTACATAAGTTACACTTATGAAACCACATTGATACATTATAATTTTTTAAAGTCATACTTGTTTCACACTTCCTCAGTTTTACCTGCTGCTCCTTTTGTTCCGGGATTCCATCCAGTACATTACATGACATTTAGTTGTCATGGTCCGTGTGTGTGTGTATGTGTGTGTGTGTATGTGTGTGTGTGTACAATCACATGGAAATGAAATTAAAAGGATACATGTTGAAATATTAGTAATGATTATTACTAGATGGTGGTCATCATGCAGTAATAAGTATTTTTTTCTTTATTCCTTTATGTGTTTCCAAGTGTTCTAGAATAAATTATATTACTTCTCTAACCAGAAAACAAAGGGATGGTGTTCTTTACAAAGGAATGCTGCCCCTAGGACTGCTGTCCCCTTTCACAATGGAAGGGTGGCCTCCCCTGCTTTGGTGAGTGGCGGTGTTGGAGAGGACCGGTCAGGCCTATAGGATGCTCTTCTGCTGGAATCTGTGCGATCTTTTCTCCCGAGTAGACTGGGGTTGTGGATTTGGGTGAGGGGGGGTCACAGAGATAAAGCGGTGAAGTGCCATTTCATCACCTCAATATTAAGGGTCCATACCCATGATGTGATTTAAGATGTTGATATTGACCTTGGTCACCTGACTGAAGTAGTTAGTGTTTGTCCAATTTCTCCATTGTAAAGTCACTACCTTACCCTTTCAAAAACTGTACGTTTTTGCCAAAACCGGTTTGGCTCAGTGGATAGAGCATCGGTCTGTGGACTCAAGGGTCCCAGTTTTGATTCCGGTCAAGGGCATGTACCTTGGTTGCAGGCACATCCCCAGTAGGGGGTGTGCAGGAGGCAGCTGATCGATGTTTCTCTCTCATTGATGTTTCCAACACTCTATCCCTCTCTCTTCCTCTCTGTAAAAACTCAGTAAAATATATATTTTTAAAAACTGTACATTTTGGACCAAATTTTCCATACAGGGCCAACACCTAGGGAGAGGGGAGTTCTACCCTCTGTCTGTAGGGCAGTCTACATAATGGATTTGGAATTCTGCATGAGAGATTTTTTTTCTCCCCCATGAATTGATTTATCCAGTCATTTATTTATACCAGTGTGAACTCCCGGGTATTTAGTTCATGCTTTTGGGTAGTAATCCCATACTACCCTGTTATTATTCCAGTTGCTCCAGCTTTGGCCATTGGGAGCGCATTCACTTGACTCTATGCTCCTTTGACGGACCCTCATCCATGTGTGGTGTTTTTGTTGTTGTTTTTGTTTTGTTTTGTCTTAGCACTTACTGGCACCAGAAGAAACTTCCGGCTCATCATGTGTATTTCCTGCCCTGGTCCTAGACTTAGCCATTTCTTCAAGAAGCCGTGGCCCCTTTTATTAGAAAATAGTATTAGAAACCAAGATGCTAAGGTATGTTCCTTGCTACTAGGGTATCTTTTCCCCCCCAAGTTTTATTTTCTTTTTAAATATATTTTTATTGATTCCAGAGAGGAAGGGAGAGGGAGAGCGAGATAGAAACATCCATGATGAGAGAGAATCATTCACCGGCCGCCTCCTGCGCACCCACAATGGGGATGCAGCCCATGACCCGGCACATGTCTGTGCTCAGCCACTCAGCACGCCGGGCCGGGCAAGTTGCATTTTCTTTGGGGGACTTTACCCCCAATGCTATCAGACTGGCCCCGCAAGTCTGAGGATGACAAGAGGCGGAGCTCAGCTCAGTAGCAAGAGGAGCTTTCAATTCATCAGAGTCAATCCCGGTGGAACGGGCCTCGATGGGGGAGAATGGACGCCCTCTCTCTAGGAAAACACCCCTGGACACAGAACGACTGACAGCTTACCAAGTGGGGTACTGGACTAGATAACTCTGTGGGTCCTTCCAATTCTAAGTTCTGTGCTTCCAAGTGGTGTTTTTTTGTTTTTTGTTTTTAATATATTTTGTTGATTTTTTTACAGAAAGGAAGGGAGAGGGATAGACAGAAACATCAATGAGAAACATTGATCAGCTGCCTCCTGCACACCCCCTACTGGCAATGTGCCTGCAACCAAGGTACATGCCCTTGACCGGAATCACACCTGGGACCCTTGGGTCTGCGGGCTGACGCTCTATCCACTGAGCCAAACCGGTTACAACTGCCGAGTGGTGTTTTAAGAGATCAATTTGATTGTAACAGTTCTCCTCTCTGCCCATTCCCCCACCCCCACACTCGCCCGCCGCTGACGGAGACTGATGAGTGATCCCTGTGCCCCCACAGTGCCTGTCATACTGCTTCCTCGTGGTACATTCTGACTAAGCGTTTTGTTGAAATGCATTGAATTGGATTGAATCGGGGCTTGGCTGGGTTTGGGAAGCCAGGGAGAGAGAGAATTAAAAGGTCATATGTAGGTAGGCAGGTGGTGATAAACATCAAATTATCTTAGGGATGCAGGGCCGTTTTGTCCAAGGATCTAACCACTTTCCCCTCTGTTACACCGCGTTGCAGTGATCTTCCTGTTGAGACCACGTCTCATCCACGTTTATATTTCCCCAAGTTCTCTGCCTGGCCCGTGCCTTCTCCATCAAAACCTAGTGACTCACACTGGCGTTCCGGGTCCCAGGAGAAAAAAAGATTGCGTGTCGTATACCTCCCTGGCTTCCCACCCATTCTGCTGCCCTTCTCCCCTTTGTGTTTATCTTCACCAGGTCTTTCTCGTCGGAGCTCTGAATCCCCAGGCCTCTTCCACCATGGCGGGCCGGGGCCGGGGCCGGGGCCGTGGCCAGCTGACCTTCAACATGGAGGCCGTGGGCATCGGGAAGGGGGATGCTCTGCCCCCACCCACACTGCAGCCTTCTCCACTCTTCCCCGTGAGTGCCCTCCCTCTGTCCCTCCGTCCCTAGGCCTCCCACATGCCCTGGCTGGCTGTGTCTGGCCCTGCATGCCTCCTGGGCCATCCTGAAACCATCCTTCTCTTGCTCCTCCCTGCTTCGGTGCACCCAGCTCACATGGATGTTCTCCAGGCAGGGAGGTGTCTGCCCCGACTCCCCAGGCCTGGCTCCCCAGCTTTCAAAAGGCGTGTTGCTCCCCTTTGCTCTCCTGGCCCTTCTCTCGGCAGGAGCATGGGATTGAGCTGGGGGGAGACACCCCCTGCATTTGTGCTTCATTCATTTTCTCCCCGGACTGACGCCTGCCCGTCTCCCTAGCCCCTGGAGTTCCGCCCTGTGCCTCTGCCCTCAGGGGAGGAAGGGGAGTACGTCCTGGCGCTGAAGCAGGAGCTGCGAGGGGCCATGAGGCAGCTCCCCTACTTCATCCGGCCGGCGGTCCCCAAGAGAGGTCAGTCGGATGCTAGGGTCACCTCCTGAGTGCCTCCCGGGGGCAGTGCCACTGGGGGCCAGAGACGCCAGAAGCGGCACAGGATGCTCACCGTCTGATCATCATAATCACCCCTGGATTCGAAACACGCGACAGTGTCCATGATTTGTTTTGTGTTTTGCAATAGTTTTGGAACATATAAATGGGGGGATGATTTATAATGTTTAACAATCTGGATATTACAGGCACCGACCAATCGGAAGGGGGGCTGGTGTTAGGCCTCTGAGATACCCTGCCAATGAGAGGGGTTACCTTTCTGGTTGGTGGGTTGCGGAGAAGTCGGGGAGACCAAGAGGGCCTGGAGGAGGGGGTGCATGTGGGAGGCCTGGGACAGTGGATGTTTATGAGCTGCGGTGGAAGGACAGTATTCCTTGGAAGTGGAAGCTCAGGGAGAGGAAAGATGCGTGGAAGTTAGCCCATGAACAAGGAGCAAAGGGAATACGGGAACCCTTACTCTATCACTGCCTCTTGGTAGGCCCATGCCTTTGGGTCAAGGGCGATTAAAAAAAAAAAATCATAATTTCAGGTGGCAAAGGGACATGTTACAAGACGGTGGAAGGTCCTCCCTGAAGCTGACCCCTGGGTCTGGGTGTGGGCTGAGGGAACAGACAATTCCTAAGTGTTGAGAGGGCTGGGCCCTCAGGAACAACCCTGGTCTAGGCCTCAGAAAGGATAAAACTTTGACCCTTGGCCTCTGACCCCTCAGATGTGGAGCGTTACTCAGACAAATATCAGATGTCAGGGCCGATCGACAGTGCCATCGACTGGAACCCTGGTAGGTGGTGGGTCCTTTCACTGACTCCTTCTTTCAAATGTCTCAACACTGGCCCCCACCCCATTCACCCTCTTCTGTCTCCCTCCCCCCCACCCCCGCCACCCCACTCAGTATTCACAAACCGGACCCTTACATATACTAGTAAAGACTCTCAGGTTGACTAGCCCTCACTCCCCTGGAGGCATCCAAGCCACAGTTTTGTTCCAAGCAACTTTGACCCAACCCCTTCCTTCCTCACATTCATCCCCACCCTCATCTCTGAAGCCAGTCATCATTCAGAGAAGTCCCCCTCCACCCCAGGCAGGGTCGTGCTGACTTTTACTTTCCCACTGTTCCCAGACTGGCGACGTCTACCCCGGGAGCTGAGGATCCGAGTGCGGAAGCTACAGAAGGAGCGTGAGTGTGTCTGGAAAGAGAGGGAAAAGAGCTTTCCTCCTGCCCTCCTCATCCCACTCGAAGCGCTCAGTGTTGTTGTTGCTGGACACCTTGATGGCCACATGAGGGCAGCAGAGTGACGTGGTCTTTGCAGGAAGGTGGTAGAAATGTAGGAAGTTTGCTCTCTGATGATTCACTTAAAAAAAGAAATCAATATATATTATTGATTTCATAGAGGAAGAGAGCAATAGAAACATAAATGATGAGAGAGATTCATCACTCATCTGCCTCCTGCATGCCTCCTACCAGGGATTGAGCCTACACCCCGGGCATGTGCCCTGACCAAGAATTGAACTGTGACCTCCTGGTTTATAGGTTGCTATTCAACCACTGAGCCGCATCCACCAGGATGATGGCTCAATTAAAAAAAAAAAATATATATATATATATTATATATATATATATTTATATATATATTTTATTTTATATATATATTTATATATATATATTTTATATATATTTTTTAAATATATATATTCCCCCCCCCCCCCAGAGAGGAAGGGAGAGGGATAGAGAGTCAGAAACATCTATGAGAGAGAAACATCGATCAGCTGCCTCCTGCACACCCCTCCTCTGGGGATGTGCCCACAACCAAGGTACATGCCCTTGACCAGAATTGAACCTGGGACCCTTCAGTCCACAGGCTGATGCTCCGTCCACTGAGCCACATCAGTCAGGGCTGATGGTTCAATTCTTTTTTAATCTTCTCACCAGGGACCACCATTCTGCTTCCCAAGAGACCCCCCAAGACCACAGAAGACAAAGAGGAAACAATACAGAAACTAGAGGTAAGAAGAAATGTGCACAGAGACCACCTGAGCCCCAGCTCCATGCCCTCCTCTTCGGCCATGTGTGCCTCACTTTTCCCTTCTGTGCGCTGCGTCTGAGTTTGTCTTCCTATTCATCTTCACGTATGACCCTGGAGAAGGCCCTAGCCGGTGTGGCTCAGTTGGTGGGGCATTGACCTGTGCACTGAAAAGTTGCTAGTTCTATTCCCGGTCAGAACACATGCCCTGGTAGCTGACTCAATCCCTGGTGGGGGGCATGTAGGAGGCAGCGGATGAATGATATTTCTCTCTCCCTCTCCCTTACTCTCTCCCTAAAAATCAATACAAAATCTTAAAAAAAAAAAGACTCTGGAGAAGAAGGAGGAAGAAGTAACTTCAGAGGAAGACGAGGAGAAAGAAGAGGAAGAGAAGGAAGAGGAAGAGGAGGAGGAGTACGATGAAGAAGAACACGAAGAGGTGAGGAGACCCCTCTCCGCCCGCAGTTCCTCTCTCATGCCCTCTTGTTCTCTTGCTCTCGTCAGCTCTGGGGATCTCAACCCTGTTCACAGGGCTGTTCTCTTCAGAGGGCGGGAGGGCCAAAGGAGACGGTGCCCTCCGCTGTCTCTGCCGCCGGCTCCTCTGCAGAGCCAGCCACCGCTGGACGGGGTTTCCAGGCCTGGATGGTGTGGTTGGGAGGGAAGGGGCCTGGTACACAGGGAGGAAGGAGAATGCCAGAAGCATGCCTGACTTTTCTTTACTTTGTGTTACAGGAAACTGATTACATCATGTCGTATTTCGACAACGGAGAGGACTTTGGGGTTGACAGTGATGACAATATGGATGAGGCTATCTACTGAATAAGGACCCTCAACAGCACCCGGGACCTTCGTATCTTTCTGATTTAGGGCACAGAGAGTCACTGTCCCTATTACGTGGTTTTGTGGACAAGGAAGTCTTTTGCTCAGTGTCCAGATAACCTGTTTGGTGTATGGAGATGGAAATGGAGAATGGTGAGAGAGATCTTTCTTTTCTACCCCTCTCCTCCCTCTACCCTGGTGTCGTTTCCTCCTCCTCCTCCTCCTCCTCCTCCTCCTCCTCCTCTTCTTCTTCTTTAAAGAGTTTTCTATAACCTCTTTTTTTTAATATTGATTTTTTACAGAGAGGAAGGAGAGGATAGAGAGTTAGAAACATCGATGAGAGAGAAACATCAATCAGCTGCCTCTTGCACACCTCCCACTGGGAATGTGCCCGCAACCAAGGTACGCGCCCTTGACCGGTATCGAACCTGGGACCCTTCAGTCTGCAGGCCGATGCTCTATCCACTGAGCCACACCGGTTTCGGCTCTGGTGTCACTTCTGAGATCTTGGCGAAAGGGCAGAGGGCCGATGTCTCCGGGTCTGCCAGGGAGGAAGGAGGTGGAGAGAAGAGCTGGAACTGAGAAGGAGACAGCTGCGCACGTGTCCTTCCCCACATTTTGTGGTTCTTTGTGGAGATAATTGGGGGTGGGAGCAGTTAGGAGGCCTAAGGCCAGTCTTATATTTTTAAATAAAAACATTTTTTTAAAAATCTGTCTTTCTGTTCAGGGTGAGGCCTGGTGGGAGAGGGCTGGAGGATTGGAGGGGATGCCTCGCTGAGCCATTCTCCCCGGACCTGTCCGCGTCCAGTGGGACACCTGGGGGCTACAGCCTTCTTGTTCTTTCCCCTCCCTGCCCACCCCATGGGGGGACACGTGCTCCCCATCTAGCCGTGCCAGGAACATTCAGGAAGCTCCTCTGAGGGGCCGTGCAGAGCGGAGGAGGAGAACAGCGCTGGCCCTGAAGGTCAGTGCACGGCCGAGCCTCCGGCCAGGGCCAGGACTGCGCCTGTCCTCGCATGTCCGCAGGATGCAGGCCCGCTCTTTCCCACACTTGGCCTTGAGCTTGTCCTTGTTTACAGAAAACGACTGCAGCTATTTTTGTGGGGAGAGTCCAGAAAGCCAGGTGTGGGGAGGGAAGCGGGGGGAGGTGCTGGGACTTCCTCAGCGCCCTCCCCCGCGGCTGCCAGGCCCCGGGACACGCTTGGAATGGCTTGTCTGTGCAGGTGAAGCCCCTGAGCATTCTGCTCTCCCCTCTAGAAGCCACTGTGAGGCCAAGTGGCAGTTGCTTTGCTTTGTTCTGTTCTTCCCAGGAGGAATGTAGTTAGCCCTGCTCACTTCCTTCTTTGGGAGGAACGGTGGGTGGTGTTGCTTCAGGAACCGAGGAGGGTGGGGTGGAGCGGAGCGGAGTGACTTGGGGACACACAGCTCTGAGAGGTGCCTCCTCGCCCACACAGCTCTCCTCTGGGTGAGGTCACTTCCCTCGGCTCTGATTGGCTCCGAGAAAGCCCTCCGTGAGCTGATTGGTTCCAGCCACCTTGACATGCAGCAGTCACACGCTAGCTGCGTGTGCAGAACAGGGACTGAATCAGGAGACAAGCACAGACAGCAGCCTGACTGCACATCTGAAAGCCATAAAGATAGGAGAACCTTCGGGAAATTCCCCGCCCTGGCCAGATAGTGCAGTTGGTAAGATCCGCTGTGTGCTAAAAAAAAAAAAATTCCCCCTGCTCTGCCAAGGTTGTGGGTTCAATCCCCAGTCAGGGCACATATTAGAATGCACAAATGCTCAAATAAGTGCTTCTCTTCTCTCTCTCTCTCTCTCTCTCTCTCTCTCTCTCTCTCTCTCTCAAATCAATCAATCAAAAAATAAAATAAAAAATAAAAAATAAATTCCCAACCATATTCGGGCTGGCACACTGAATTCCCTGCAGCTTCAAGTGACAGAGAGTGGCAGCCTTACAGTAGATCTTCCTGACTCCTTTGAGGGAAGCCCCTTAAAGCCTGGTCTGGGTGCAGGAGTAGGTGTTACGGTAGAAGCAGCCAAGAGAACAGAGAAGGAAACTGGAAGAGAAACAGAACATTCCAGTTATTGAGCAATCTGCGATGATTGCTGTGTTTCTTTTTCTAGCTCGGTGAGGTGTTGTAAGTGGAGTGGGGTAGGGAGAGGACCCGCCCCTGGGGTTTCCCAGTCACACTATAGCCTGGGAGATGACTAGGGAGAAACACGCAAGAAACAGAACCAAGGCCCTGAAAAACCTTCTGCACCCTTCCCCCTACCCCCCTCTGCACCCTTCCCCCTATCCCCCTCTGCACCCTTCCCCCTACCCCCCTCTGCACCCTTCCCCCTGCCCCCCTCTGCACCCTTCCCCCTGCCCCCCTCTGCACCCTTCCCCCTACCCCCCTCTGCACCCTTCCCCCTACCCTCCCTCTGCACCCTTCCCCTGCCCCCCTCTGCACCCTTCCCCTACCCCCCTCTGCACCCTTCCCCCTACCCCCCTCTGCACCCTTCCCCCTACTCCCCTCTGCACCCTTCCCCCTACCCCCCTCTGCACCCTTCCCCCTACCCCCCTCTGCACCCTTCTCCCTACCCCCCTCACCTTCCCAAACCAGGCAGCCAGATCTGGGTTTTTGTTGGTGTCATAGCCAATACCCTATATCTCGCCAATGCCAGCCTGGGAACTTAAAGAATGGGAACAAAGAAGATTCTAGACACAAGTCAAGTAGAGGAGGAATGCATCCCAGCCCTTCTTATCTCCCCATCCCCTGTACACACACCTCACACACACACACACACACACACACACACACACAGACACACACACACACATACACACAACACACACACCTCACACACACATACACACACACACACACACACACACACACCTCACACACACACACACACACACACACACACACATATCCTCTGCTCCTGAAACAGGAGACAGGAGGACAGAGGTTAGAGTGACCACTTGGGATCAGTTGTCTTACCTCAAAGACAAACTACCAGAAAGTTCAGACTATTCTTTTTTTTAAAATATATTTTATTGATTTTTTTTTTTTTTTACAGAGAGGAGGGGAGAGGGCTAGAGAGTCAGAAACATTGATGAGAGAGAAACATCAATCCGCTGCCTCCCGCACACTCTCCAGTGGGGATGTGCCCACAACCAAGGCACATGCCCTTGACCGGAATCGACCCTGGGACCCTTCAGTCCACAGGCCGATGCTCCATCCACTGGGCCAAACCAGCCTGGGCAAGATCAGTCCATTCTTGAACTCTTTCCTGTCTGGCTTCCCGGCTCTGCTGGCAGGTGACCTTGCAGAGCGAAGCCAGAGGCATGAGACGCAGCAGCTTCCCCGGATTCCGGAGCGGTTCCAGGCATGAGCTCGTCTGTTTCCATTGACCTCTCCCCCACTTTCCACAGGCTCCGTCAGGCAGGCCGGGGTTGCTAAGGCACAGTAAACAGTCAGGGCTGCTGTTCCTCTGGGGAACCAAGAGAAAGGGTAGAGGTCGAGGCCTTCTTCTTCTTTTTCTTCTTTTTTTTTAAATATATATATATATATATATATATATATTTAAAAATATATATATTTTATTGATTTTTTTACAGAGAGGAAGGGAGAAAGATAGCCAGAAACGTCGATGAGAGAGAAACATCGACAAGCTGCCTCCTGCACATTCCCCACTGGTGATGTGTCTGTAGCCAACATACATGCCCTTGACCGGAATCGAACCCGGGACCCTTCAGTCTGCAGACTGACGCTCTATCCACGGAGCCAAACCGGTTTCGGCGAGGCCTTTTTCTAAACATTCGGAGAGGATCCGTGTGGTGCTTGCTCAGCCTGGAGTGGTGTGCCCGCTAGGGCCTGCTTCTGTTGGACTGGCCCCAGGCCCACAGCCTGGGCCGCACTGGCCCCAGGCAGGGGAGGTTCCCTGGCAAGAGTCCTATCCTTTTCTGGCACCTGTGACCAGCCTCCTGGTCCCCTCCCACCCTGAGCAGGAAGCGTGGGAGTGGGGGCTGCCGATGTCACTGCAGGGTCTCACGTGGTTCGAGGGAGAGCCACCTGGGAGGCCCGGATGCAGCCTGACACTGAGAAGATGGGGAGTGGAGACCAAAGGACATTGGAGGGTCAGGTGTCAGGTGGGCAGGGCACCCTTGGTTTGGTGAGGAAGAGACGATTATTTTCCTGGATTCGTTGTTACTGTTGCTTGAGCTTTAAGAGGCAGGTAGGGTGCACTACCCCCAGGGAGAGGGCTGTCATCTCAGCCGGGCGAAGCCCTGGGGTGGGTCCCCGCTTCACCACTCCACAGCGCTGTGTCCTTGGGAAAGTTATGTCCCGTCTCAAGCCTCAAATTCTTCATGAATGAAACAGAGTCTGGGTCAGGAGTGTCCAGCGGGAGTCCTTCACGCTGACGAGCCCCAATGGTTCTGAGAACAGAGGTCAGGCAGGACGTGGCCAGCTTTTGCTGAACCCCTTCCATCTGCTGGATTTTCCCATCTTATTTTCAGCGTGGGCGAGCTAAAGATAACTCCGGCACCTGGCCAGTCCTTTCCAAGAACCTGCTGCAGCTTAGTAGTAGGAGAATCAGCAATTCCATCAACTAGCAAGAAAGGAGATAACTCCTAGAGCAGAGTTCAAGGTCACCAGAGAGGGCTCAAATCAAGCAGGTTACCTAGACATTTCTGACTGAGGAAGAAGCCAGTGGGACAGGTCCTCTCTACCCCCTCTCCCATCTATGTGGCCAGAGGACAGAGAAGAGAAATGAGATGGAGAGGAACGCTGTAGCTCAGTTACATAATCTGGCCAGGCCAGTGGTAACCCTTTCTCCATTAACCTTTCCCCTACTGAGGCTCACTTAAAAACAAACAAACAAAAAACAACAAACAAAAAACCCCACTAAAGATATATTTTTTTAGAGAGAGAAACATCAATTTGTTGTTCCACTTATTTATGCATTCACTGGTTGGATCTTTTTTTTTTTATTATTAAAGTATAATTTTATTGTCCA